GTTTTATGATAAAGTACACTAAATAATAATGAATAACAAGATATATAATAAGGGATTCTAGGGAAATAAATAAATAGCGGTACGAATATAAACAGTAAGAATTATTCTTCTTTTAGTATTGAAAGATAACTTCACTACAGATTTCATTTTAGCAAAGACATTTTTGTATCAGAAATTATTATATTTAATATATATATTTATATTATTTTAAAAGTAATAATTTTATAATACATTAAGGTTAATTACTTATCCATACTAACATTTTTTTTTATCTGAAAGAATATATTTACAGATTGGTCCCATAGAAATTGTATCAAAATGGGTTAGGTCAAACTGGTTTTGTCACAATTTAAGTCGATATTTTTTATGGGATATATCTTATATATCTTTAATTCATTTAGAAAAAAAATCTCAAATAAATTTGTTCACAAAATTTTTCAAAAATATGCTCCTCCATCTGGAAATCGCTTAAAAATGTAAAAACATAGATTGTCCATGTTAACATGTGACGCCCCTTCTAACTTTCTACTTTTATAGGTGTGACCATACAGGGACGCGATGCTCCGTTTGTGTTTGTGAGGAAACGTCTTCAGTAGTGGTTTTTTTGGTACTGGAAGATAATGGAATGGTAATCCGGCCTGCGTTAACGGTATAGGCTGGCAGGGCATCAGTGAAAGGTGACAGGTGAGAATGAAAAGCAGATCAGTTAGCCCATCGTGATGAATACGCTTGGAATTCAGCACAATGGTTTTCAGGAGGGACCACGGGGAGGTCGACCTGGTTGGGTATATTACTTGCAATGGGGCCCTTAGATAGATAGATACTCTTTATTGTTTCCTCCATAAAGATTACAATAGTAAACTTATTATAAATATAAATAATTACAAGAAATAATCACAATGAGAAAAACAATGGGCGACCTTATCGCTAAGAGCGATCTCTTCCAGGCAACCTTTGGATGGAGAGGAGTAATTATAAACAATTTGGTAGGAGGCACGATGAAAAATTTTGTTAGTTCTAGATATGGGAGATGTAATACATATAATAATATAAAAATTATCCCTACTCATTATTATATATATATATGTATATATACACATACATATACATACACATACACACACACACACACACACACACACACACACACACACACACACATTATATATATATACATATTAACACAAATACATATACATACATACATACATACATACATATACACATATACATACATGCATATAAACGCCTACACAAATACATAAAAATATATAAATACTGTTCACGAAAAATATACAAGAAATAAGTATGCTAACCAGACATAAACATATTAAGGAGATGACAACTTGCTCAAATAAAAGTTCTTAAGTTTTGTTTTAAAAGTAACCAGACATTTTATATTTCGTATGGAAACTGGTACAGAATTCCATAGCCGTACAGCTTGCACCGTAAACGATTTGTCATAAAAGTTTGAGAAATGTACCGGAGTCTTCAGCTGGAGGCCCTCAGAAGACCTAAGATTAAAAGAATTGACGGTATGCAGGAATTCAAACCGCTCCTTCAGATAGTGAGGGGAAGAAGAGTTGAAAAGGTTACCGTTACTAACAGTCCCTTCCGCCCTCCTTCAATAGCGGTTTTTTTAATGGATGATAATGAAATGGTAACCCCGCCTGCGCTATCGGTATATACTGGCGGGGCACCAGTGAGGGATGATAGGTGAGGATGAAATGAGGTCAGTTGGCCCATTGCGATAAATTTGACGATAATTAATCACGTTGGTTTGGTACAAACTTACTGACTACTTGATAAACAAACATATCTAACTATCACTTATAGACATAAACTGTAAAATACTACATGTATAAGAATGATTGAAGATTTTATACTCATGTTCCGACAAATAAATGATCTATTCATTTATTCATTTAATAAACAACTTACAAGAATAAAGTCAGAACAGTTGGCTAACTATAAAGAAACCTTTGAGAATTAACCACGATTGTTTAGGAACCGCGTGGAGGTCGAGCAAAGTCCGCAAGCTGTTTTTTTTAATTGATGATGATAGAATAATAACCCTGCCTGCGCTATCGGTATATACTGGTGGGGCACCCGTGAGGGATGATAGGTGAGGATGAAATAAGGTCAGTTGGCCCATTGCGATAAATTTGACGATAATTAATCACATTGGTTTCCAGGGGGAACCACGTGGAGGTCGACCTAATAGGGTATATTGCTAGCAATGGGGATTAGCTCTTCAGTAGCGGTTAGGTAAGAAATGGTCGAAACCTTGTAAATATCTTGAATCAAACGTTTTTAATTCTTTAGATTTTGGAGGGGCATGCCATATTATTGTTGACAATCTATATATTGATAGAAGCTATATGTTGACTTGAAATAGCTTTTTAATACACATGTAGTTTTTATGTTTTTAATATGTATATTATCTTTGCCAGCTCAGAACTCATTTTGAATGATAGATAGATAGATGGGTAATCTTTATTGTTTCCTCCAAAAAATGTATGAATGAAAACTCTTAATAGTTCCCTTCAAAGAATGATACATATTAAAAAGGTTAACAATATGTACAAAAACTAAATTAACATAAACTTTTTAAAATTAAAAACAAGATAAAGAGGCAACAATGTGCGGCCTTTTGATAATTTGTTTTGCAACTGACGGGTCTCAGATGAATTACTATCAATATCTTTATATATTATTTTTATAGATTATTTTTGTGTTAAATGGAAATTCATTTGAATGGTAAACGGGCACGTTATCATTTAAAACATGGGATATACTAAATTAACTTCGAGCCGCGGAAAATAGTAATCGTATAAAATAAATATACTACTCACATACTGACATAAACCTGTTTATTTAACTGAACGTGTTTTTTAAACAATCCACTTTTTTATGACTTTGTTACGTTTAGGTATTGTTTTTCGAGGTAAAGGACATTTTATTATTTACGTTTCACCCTCGCAATTATCGTTGACAGGAAGGAAAGCTTACTTTAATCACTTGTAAGCAATTTCAAGCCATTGTCTTTAATTTTACGTAATCGATCGATAACATGATACAAGTTAATTAGGATTCCGTAAAAATGTTACGAGATCCCTTTCTGTAAACAATTCTGATGCAATGTGAAGTTAATTAGCCGAAGAGTAAATGGCTTGAACGTTCGGAAATCTTTATTATAATAAACAATCTGTTTTCCGCATACTGGGGAAAATATATAAATAGATTTTTGTTTAATGAATAATGGTAACCCTACCCCTACGCTAACGGTATACGGTTTTGAGGCACCAGTGAGGGGTGATAGGTGAGAATGAAAAGGCAGGCCCGTATGCCCATCGTGATGAATACACCTGGAATTCTGCATAATGGTTTCCAGGGAGGACCACGTAGAGGTCGAATTGACAGCTATTGCTAGCAATGGGACTGGTAGTTCGCATTGCTAACAATCTTTTTCCCCCGTATGGTTATTTGGTACTTAGTTGTGATTTAGATCTTTATAAGTATAATTATTGATGTATTATGTATAAACCAATAGTAATTAGGGTCTATTGCAATAGAAACCAATAAAACTTTTCTATCATTTATTCCATTCAAATGGCCAAACTAACGTAACATTCTCTTTTTGATCTTTGCCATTGAATTGTTTTTAGTTCACACATTTATCTCTACTCATTCTGTTATTATATTATTATTATTTATATATTATAATAGTTGTTAACTATCCATTGCTGAACATAGGCCTCCGCTATAAGTGGGGTTTTGCCAGTAGTTGTCACATTTGGCAAACGAGTTAGCAACCTCAGTTAGGCTTTAGTGATGTTTTAAAAGGGACACTGCTGCCCATCCTCAACCATTAAGTTCCTTTAGTCGCCTCTTACGACACTCACGGGATAAGAAGGGATGGCCCATTCCACGCCGGGACCGCTTGGTGAGTAGTAGTAGTAGAAACAGAAACGTGGTTACACGGTGGTTATATTATCATAATATTCTATTAAAACAGACCATACAAAACATAAATAAGAAAGAAAGAGTATTTAACATTATTATTTTTATGCAACTTCAAATTGCAGACAAGCTGACGGATTGTATGCATGTTTGTTGTATGACGACGGTATTTATTAGTATAAAATAAAAAAAAAAGATTATTCATAAATACTCGTAATAAATTTTACTTTAAACTACTTTAAACTTACTTTAAAAAACTTCTCCTTTTACGATATACGAGTATTGAAAGTAATGCTCCTTTCCATTCAAAGTTTACTGGAAGAGAACTCTTATATAGTTAACTCGCCTGTTGTACAATAAAGTATAAATAAATAAATAAATATCCTAAAAGAAGATGTCTACAGTAAATTACATTAGGTGTTTTAAAAATCTGGACGCCTTCTTCCGTTGCATACTAGATAAATACGATTGGGCCCTAAGGATCAATTTACATCAGTGCCGGTTTAAGCTTAGATGTAAACTCTAATATGTTGCGATTACAACTATATATTATTATATTTTGATAAAATGAATTGTCTCATTTAAATGAGGGCACCTCTGAGATGTGGCTTATACTTTACTGTAAACTTGCAGAAAAAAGAAGATCAAATAATAACAGCGTAAAATTATAAATATCAAGATTTCATATCTTTAGTGCACCTTTCACCTGTCATAATGCATATATATATGTACACACACTGTGCATACGTCATACACAAAACCGAAAACCAACCATGAGTAGGGTGTGATAGGTCGGGTAATAACGATATAAATTATTTAAACATAGATAGCTTGATTGATAGACCATTGTAGCGTTTAAATAATAATATAATTTAATAATAGTATTAAATAATATTATTTGTCATTGTATTATTATTTATAACGTTACAAATCTCAAATTAATATCACTAACGGAACCCATTATTAATGATGAAGTTGAACCTTTTTTCTAAATCGTAACTGTGTATGTACTTACTATGTTAGTCTTTTGACACCGGCCTGCCAGTACAGACATGGATAGAGTGAGTTTCAAAGTAAATGGCGTTAGTTATTCGGGTAAGTGAAATATTTATAAAAAAGTAATCTTTAATTATTTTATTAAATTATTAAAACAATAATAAGTTGCTATATAATCATAATAATAGTAGATATAATAGAGCAAATATTGCATGAATACATAATATTCAACTATAATACCTATCGAAATATTATGTTACTTAATATGCATATTTAATATGCGTAAACACAAGTTTTACGATTAAGTACGTATGTATGCATTTATTACTATGTCGTTCCCACGATTTATTTTAATAGGTGTTAATTTTATTAATATAGTCTATTAAATAAGTAATTAATAATTTAATAAAACTTTATATTAATATTTATCATAATAATACCTAAATATAGTAAAAATAGGCAACTCGTGGTTGAATATAATTTATTATGAACTAGCTTATACCCGCGACTTCTTACGCGTGGATTTTAAAAGTAGGAAAACTAATGTGAAGGACTAATTTTAAATAGCTATCAAGATGAATATACACAAGTTTAACTTTCAAGTATACAAATGTGAAAACTACATCCATTTTAGTGCAGTTTTTACATGACATTGGAACAAATACACACACACACACACACAGACAAAACTTGTAAAAAAAATATCGTTTTGTTTCTTTTGCTTTTATTAAGACCATTCATAATTTTCTCTTTATCTTTCTCTTTACTTTTTATTATATATACCGATATAAATTATGTTAACATAATCATTAAAGATTGATTCAACAAGACTTGTCCGATGAGATAAAACGGGTTTAAGATGCCCGCTACTCGAAATAAAAATACACAATCTACATGTACGTAGGTAATAAATGTTAATGTACAGATTTGGAAGCTTCTCTTGACTGCCCACGCGTCGTTGCGTGCTCCAGTGCACCTGCGCGTATTTATGTACTCGTTATGTGCTTTTAGAAAATAAATAATTCGATGCAACACAACTTGTCTGTCTTACAATATTACAATTCTTTTAACTGTTATTAATTACTAGCGATTCGACTCCGCTTTGAAAAGTTAGATAGTAATTTGAAAAATAATATAATATATAGCCTATATTACTCGTTGATACTGTAGCTTTCGTAAAGACGAAAGAATTTTTAAAATAGATAGATAGTAGTTTTTGAGTTTATCCATTACAAAAACAGCAAAATCTTCCTTCTTTATCCTTCTTTGGACCAGCTATAACACTATCCTAAGGGTATTTGCAGATCGTCCAGATTGCCAATATGTTAATCAATGTAGTATGATCCACATCCTGACTAACATAGATTAATATTTACATTAACATATATTAATATAATAATTAAATTAAATCATACATATATTTATCATATTTGTATTAAAATTAAATCATAGATTAATTTTAATACAAATTAATATTGTGCAAAAATTCTTTGGTTCCTTGTTACGTTTATTAACGAATTTATTTGTTATTATTATTTATAATATTATTAGTTTAGATTAGTTTCTGGGACCAGGATATGTTCTTCTCCATCTATATGTATATCTATATTATGTGTATACCTTTTCATGACAATTGATTGAGCTGAGAGGTAACAAAAAAAAACTCACTTTGACATTTGTTTGTTAACATTTAGTAAAGATTATGAGTATTATTATCAGCTAAGTGTTTATGTGTTTCAGCCATTAATAATTAATGGCTGAAATGATGATGACGATGAAGTGTTTATGTGCGATATTAGTAGGTAGACAATTCTGTGTAATGTTTTTTGGGATAAGGTAATAGTAGTAGGAATGATGAATTTTTAAAAATTATATAAAAGCCATCTCAAAGATAATTTGCCGAACACAAAACGAACTGGACTGTTAAAATAAACATAGGAAATTTTAAAAAGATTCAATATATTTATTAACAATTTGTGGTTGGATCAAAAGATCCAGTTCTTTGTTTGAGCATAAACTGTTTATACAGTTTAAATTATTGGTATATTGTGGCCCAAATGTTACGAAAAGTCGATTAATATAAATATCAAACCAATCTAGAACAAATAAGAATCTAAGTCATTGATTCGCATAAGACTCGAACTATCGAATAATGGACCTTCGTTTCGCAAAGTTGAAATTGACCCAAAATTGTATGACATGGACCGTTATATTCACATGCGGACCTTCTAATTTACAAATCAGTTACCGTAGTCGTAGTCAGAGGACATAAAAAAACACATTATTTTATTTTGTACTATTTTAAATATCATACAAATATATATATTATTAATTTAATTTAAATAAAAACATCAATTTTATATAAGAGATAGATTATAGAGATAAGAGAGAGATAATTTATTAAGAATTTAGGTGAGTTGACACGACCGATGCAAGTATTAGTGCGTTGGGTAGCATAAATCACGTAGATATTTTACATCAGCAATTTGCATTAGGGTTGGCACGTAACAAATTGAAATTTTATTTATGTTTTTTTTCGAATCATAATTGCTTTTGGCCGCAGATGGCCTTTACAGCTTCAATGGACGCGTGTGCAGGGGCGAGTGCAGATGGTACTCCAAGCCCGCTAGGGGAGCGACAGAGTGTCAACTCTTACCGAAAGACTGCGGCGTACGCTCAAGGTCGCCAGAGCGACTCGGACCTCGACTTAGACCACCGCACACTGACATCCGTCGAAGGATAGAGTGCCAGTTTCGATGGAGGGGGGAGGAGCCTGAGCGTGTGCGACCGGTGTGTTGGGGTTTTACGTCCCCGCCGGCGGGAACGGTGTGTGCTGCGTAGTTCTGTGCGTGACGAATGTTACGCGGTGGGGGAGGGGGATTTATTTTTGTAGTAAATAAATAATTTCTTGGTTCAATAACAGTTCAGTCAATATTCATGAAATTTGTTATACACGTATTATTTGGATTAAAAAAACATGATGACATAGGGCTCTCTCTATACAAATCAAATAATGTAGTTAAAAATATTTTTTTGTTTAATTTTTGTCTGTCTACCAGAATGTTTGCTCCGGCATTATAAAAAACCTATGATACGAAATTGGACGTGGTTCACATTTGTGTTTCTGAATATTTAACTTAAAATCTGGAGAACGAGTATATTTTGTATTGACACGCTGTCTAGAAGTAGTTTCTTTCTACTTATAAAATTATCCATATAAAAGGATGAGTAAAAATTTGTTTAATAATATATTATTTTCAGTGGGTTGCGAGGTGAGTTCACAGATGACCCTAGTGGATTACCTCCGAGATGTCCTGGAGCTACGTGGTACCAAGTACATGTGCCGAGAGGGTGGTTGTGGCACTTGTACCGTCAGTGTTGTTAAAACAGCTGGCGCCAAACCGATTGCCGTCAATTCGGTAAGGAATAATGTGTATTAATATATTGTATATTTTAATTGTTGTGTAGGTCCTGGCATAGAATAGGCCACCCCTTTCTTTTTCGTGGGTATCGTATAAGGTGACTAAGGGAACTTAAGGTGGAGGGATGGGCAGCAGCGTCCCTCTAAAAACATCACTGAAAGCCAAATTGCGATTGCCTGCTGATTGTGGTAACTACTAGCAAAACCTCCTTTATGGGGGAGGCTATGTTCAACAGTGGACAGTTAATGGATGATACAACATATATTTTAAATGCGAAAATTTTTAAGTACGAATTACCGATCATTTTCAGTCGACACAGTGCCAACATAATAATAATAATTTGTTCTTGTGCTGTAAATTTTTATTATTATGGTAAAAGATTTAAAGTTTTTCCCTATTTACCTATATCATGTTTCCATAAATGTATTGAGAAGTAACTATGAGAATATTTAATTCTTAAAAAAATCCCAAACTGTTTCTCTTGAATATTTCTAACGTAGAACCTTAACTAACATGCTAATATTATTAATGAGAATGTGAGTTTATTTGTTACCTTTTGGTATCATAACGGTTCAAATAATCATATGTAAAAAAATAGAATTCTTTTTATTCTGATTATGTGGATAAAGTCGGATGTAAATAATAGTCTTGATATAATAATATAAATTATCTATATATCTATAAATTATAGTCATACATTACTTAATTATTATTATTTTGTCATTTTATTATTATTACCATCTGTTTACAGAATTTCTTTCAAATCTGTCCAGCTGTTTAATTATATTATTACATATTTTAATATTTATAATATAATAGTGGAGAGTACGTGTTTAACATACAATACACATATTTTTATTACTACACGCTTGATAATAAAAAAATGTTCAAATATTTGTATTTATATTTTGTTATCAACTTGACTTGCAAGTTCGTTGTGTGTACAGAAGATAAAATTAATAGACACATGAAAAATTATGTTGCTAGAAAATTATTTATTTATCATCAGCTTTGCGCAACTTCCATGCTAGCTTTTAACGTATGAATTCGGCCAGGAAACATAATGCCAATGTTTATTTAAATGATGAAATCACAATAGTGTTAACTAACAAAGATACTGCCAAATGACTGCAATCTTAATTGTTGTCATGCCTACAGTGTTTGGTGTCTGTAACGTCCTGTCAAGACTGGGACATTACGACCATAGAACAAGTCGGCAACCGGTTTAAGGGTTATCATCCGATACAGAATGCATTAGTTGAGCACAACGGCACTCAATGTGGATATTGTTCGCCGGGATGGGTTATGGCTATGTACAGGTAAATAAACTAAAGAATTTATAGATTATTTTTATTATTATAAATACTTTATGATCACAATCATTAAAATCAATTTAATAGTCGAGGGATAGGCAAGGGTCTCTCTTATAACGTTACAAAAACCAAACTGCGATTACCAACCTGCATGTTATGTGTGCGTGGTAATTAATGGCAAGACTTCTCAAGGGGAAGCCTATATAAAACAGTGGACAGTTATTGGCTGATATAATGACGATGATAATGATTAATCACAATTATGAATGAATGAGTACTTTATTTGCATTATACAATATAGGAAATAAGTAAGGCAATTTACAAACAACGATACATTTGTATAAGTACAGTAAGGCGATCTTATTGCTGAGAGCAATCTTTTCAAGACAACCTTAAGCTAATAGCTGGGTTCACAAGCTAGGTTATTCTGTGTTTTGAGGAACCGGGCTACGAAAAATTGATGGCATAAAACTCAAACGACCAGACTCGAGCAAGTACAGAAAAAGTTTACTAAATTGGCCCGACCTGGAATCAAATCTGGGCCATCAATAATGTAAAGTAACACACTCACCAGTGCACTACGGAGGTCGTCGAACTTAATGTAGTATAACTTAATCCTTACTAGTATTATAATATGGAAGTGAGTTTGTTTGTTTGTTAGTTTGTTACTTTATAGCGCCTTAACTTCTTCGGACAGGGCCTTCTGTCTGTCTCTCTGTATTTTTTATAGGCTAATTTTTATCCCGGTCTGTTAACGTAGCCAAGTCGGAGGAAACTTGGGGGAAAAGCAAGTATTTCTATAATATTCTTTATACTGAAAGAACACTATTTTTTATTGTACATTAGATTATCATAATTACGCATGTTAACGCATGATGCAGCTGACAGCTGGCATTTTTGGAATGTTTACTTTATAATGATTGTATTGAATGAGTTTTATGTGGTCAAGGTCAATGTACCCAGTAATCGTAATTAATACTGTTTCAAGGTAAATTTTTATGAATCTCCTAAAATTTCTAACTAATTTGAGGAAGGTCCTCTATCCTAGTCTTATCATCCTGACGATATTATTATTATAGTGTGCCTTGTCTATATAAAATTCTTAGGCCGATGACACGTATTTGTCGTTCCAATTGAGTTTAATATTCTCTATTGTTAGAAATGCTGTAATATTGATTTTCGAAATTATATCAAGATTCATATTTAAGCCTATCAATATTGAGTAGGTACAAGCACACTTGGAAAAAGTATTTTAAATATTGCAAGTTAGGTAGAGAATTACAAGTTCAGCATACGACAATATTTCATATATAAATTCATATCTTTAATTAAGAAGTAAATTACTTGTGATTAATTACTTGTGAATTACTTGTGAATTAATTATAATGAACTGAATAATACTTTTCTGAAATAAAATATTTTAACTCTCAATTTAATCCCAAAAATTTAATGCAGTGCATTTTAAAATATTTTTAAAGTATAGTTACTTACGAAAAAGTTAAATATAAATATGAAATTTATGAAGAAAAAATAATTATATTTATCTTATTCTGTTAAATTAGTCACAACATTAAATATTTTTAACAAAATTACCAGAGGGAGACTTTGTACAAAAGTCGATTGCTTGGGTATCTCTGTCCCATTCGAGTTTCAACCGTGAAGCAGTTGTGTTTGCATGACTGTGTTTCGGTTTGAAGGGTGGGATATGGCGTGAATTTACTGGGTACAGAGGAATAACACCTGAGTCCTCAGGAATGGGAACGCATGGATATGCATGGATGGGTATTATGGGCGAAACAGTATACTCTGTTATGTCCATGGTACTGCTCATGTCTATAGGCGACGGTTATCACTTTCCATCAGGTGGACCGTCAGCTTGTTTGCCATTCTAAGTTGTATAAAAAAAATTAGCAGAGTATAATTTTTTTAAATTTAAAAAAAAAGTTTAATTAAGAATCCTTAAAACAATTTTTTTAAATAATAATATTATATTTATATTATTAATCTTATTTCAGTCTTATAAAAAATAAAAACAACTTAACTATGCTTGACATAGAGAAATCATTTGGGAGCAACATATGCAGGTGTACGGGTTATAGGCCAATTTTAGATGCATTTAAGAAATTTGCAAAAGATGCACCTTTAAATGATAGAATACTTGACATAGAAGATTTGCACATTTGTAATAAAACTGGCAAAAACTGTGACAAACATGACTGTAAACATGATTGTAAAGATGATGATTGGTGTATAGTTTCAAAATCTGATGTGGAAGTACCAGTTCCAATAAATATAGATTTGAAAGATGGAAGATATTGGTTTAAAGTATCAACCATAAGGGACGTATTTGGAATTTTAGGTACAAGAGGAGACGACTCTTATATGTTAGTTTCTGGAAATACAGCAAAAGGTACTTTATTAATATTAAAACTAATTAATTGAGTTTATTTACAATTTTATAATTATGTGTATTAATTTAATATAATAATATACTTTTCTAATTTTTTATTTACGAAGTTTATGACCTATATTATGCAATATGAGTATCTACCTTAGTTTTGTGTACAGCTAATGATTATATTATTTTACTACTAGGTGCCTACCCTATAGATGAATATCCTCGAATTCTAATAGACATAAGTGAAGTTTCGGAATTAAAAGGATGTTATTTAGACCAAAATTTGGCAATTGGAGCTGGTAACACTTTATCAGATCTTTTAAATATCTTGCAAAATATGTCCAAAGTAGTTTATTTTGAATATCTGAAGAAATTTTACGATCATATTCAATCAGTAGCTCATATCTCTGTAAGAAACGTAAGTAATGCTACTGTTGTATTATTATTTTTTATTTAATTGTTACATCTAAAATATATATGTTTTTAAATATAAATCTTTTTTATCTTTTTATTTTTATGATTCAAATATGCTTAAGAAATATAGACATGCTGAGTGCTACCTGTGTCTACCCCATGAGTCATTATAATCATTAGCATATTTTTTTATTCTATATTTGTTGTATATTTATGTACTATGAATAGTTTAAAGTATCTGTATTTTGATTTACAGTTGGGATCGATAGCAGGTAATCTGATGATTAAACATCAGCACAATGAGTTTCCTTCTGACATTTTCCTCTTATTAGAAACTGTCGGGGCTCAGTTGACTATAGGTAAGTATTGTATTACTCTATAATTTATATAAGGAAAGAAAGCAGAAAGAAAGACTTTTTATTTATTTAATCTTAAATTTAAATATTTTTTAATTTTGTTATGATTCTACCATCTACTTGGAATGCGTTATATTTAAATTAAAATCACTTATATTGTTTATCCTTATTATCACGATCATTAACAAAGCTTGTGTTAAGTCCCGTTCTTAGGTACAGATCTCTTCTTATTTGAGCCTAGTATTACTACTCTGGCTAAGTGAAATTGCATATGGATTTATTTCGGATTTCCCTTCTCATACATATATTATGCTTTATTCTTCGTCACTATTTAGTAATCCAAATTTATTATATGTAATTATTATCATTATAATTAGCGATTTATTGTAGGAATTATTTTTATAGTTTTATGACATAAAATAATATTTGTTAGGTTTTATGAAATATCAAGTGATCTTAAATAAATAAATAACTAATGTTGTATTACAGAAATGTAATGTTGTATTTATATATCGTCATATGTCGTTATTGCTAGTTATATGTGTATTGAAATTAGTAATAGTAGATTGCCTTTTACTTATTATGAAAAGATAAATATAAATTATGTAATGATATAATAATTAATAACTAAAACAAGTACTAAATTACGAACTAAATATAATGTAATATTTTTTTAGTTAATCAACGAGGTTTACAAGAAAGAGTTTCAATGGCGCAGTTCTTGAAATTGAATATGAGATCAAAAATTATACTAAACATTTTAGTGCCACCCTTAAGCGAGGATACTAAAATTGTAACATTCAAGGTAAAATAATTACAAAATAATAAGCCTTTTTTTAACATAATCTTATATTTGATAAAGATAATAAAATATTTGGTTACTATATTGAAAATCATATGATTTTGGATGGATACAGTTCCTTTCTTTCAACACTCATCTACTCCACTCCACAAGCACTATGTAACTAATGGCTTATTTTAGTAAACACAGTAGATTTGGATAATAAATACAATGAGTATTTACCGTGCAAGTACTAAAATTTTGTGCTGATATAGCGAATTTGTTTCAGATAATGCCCCGGGCGCAGAACGCTCACGCTGTAGTAAACGCTGGATTCTTGTATAGGTTGAGAAAAAGTGACAACAAATTGTTACAATGTAGACTGGTGTTTGGTGGACTGTCACCGCAATTTTCTAGAGCAGCACTTACTGAAAGATATTTATTTACAAAAATGCCATTCGCAAATGACATACTGTCAAAAGCAGTGGAAACATTGGCTAATGAAATAGTGGTGACGGAAACAGGTCTCTTATCAGAATGGTCCACTGATTATAGAAAGAAACTGGCTTTAGGACTTTTTTATAAAGTAAGATATTTATGATAATATTTAATGAGTATATCTATTACTAGATTTGGTAAAATTGAAAAAAACAGCTTCATTTTATTAAAATCTGTTAAGCAGTTTCTAACATCGTGATATAAGTATCGTCTAATATAAATAATATATTATATATATACACTACTATATACTATACTTTCAGGGATTATTGACAATATGTCCACGCGAATTATTGGGCTCTCGTTATGCCTCTGGAGCTATCAAGATACACGAAACAAGACCGGTTTCTGATGCTCGCCAGATATTTGATACAAATCCCGCTTTGTGGCCATTAAATCAACCGTTAGAAAAAGTTGAAGCTAAGGTATCTGATTTTATATTTTTACGCTTTTTTTTTTTTCATTTTTGTATTATTAATATTTTATTCTTATGAACAATTTATTCACCCTAGTTTTAGAACTAACAGAAGTTTTAAATTTGTGTATTTAATTTTTTTTCTTTATAGATTCAGTGTTCAGGTGAGGCTCCTTACACGGAGGACTTACCTTGCATTCCTAGAGAAGTGTTTGCTGCATTTGCACTCTGCACTGTTCCTAGAGGGAATATAGAAAGTATCGATGCTAGCGTAGCCTTGGTAAATTTTATTAACTTTTTTTAATCATAATCTTTTTTCTATGGATTTTTTTTTAGTATTGGTATTATTAACTACTCTACATTATGATATTTTATAATACCCATTATGATATCGTAAAATATAGTTTCATATATAATTAGTTGTTAGATTAATACATTTGTATCATTAAATTTAATTTTTTTTTGTTTTGTGATAAAAATATATAAAGATGTTGCGGGATTAATTGAGACGATGATGTTGGTAGTGACGTATATTTCAACTGATTAACAATAAACTTTCAATTGACAATATTAACAATTAAAAATGACCTTACATACTAAAAAAAACAAACAAATAAAATTAAGAGGGGCGACACATTAACTCAGTACGTGTAGTGTAGTGTGCTAAATTGGCAATTATAAATTTTTTAACAAACTATTTTCTAACTGCTTTGCAAGCACTAACATAGATATGACTCGATACAGAAGATTTAATCACTTTTCTTTCATTATTGAATCAAGGCATTATTTAATTTAGGATACTTAATATCACTAAAAATTAAATGCAATATTGATTTCTTTTAGAATCAACCAGGCGTTTTAGCATTCTATACAGTAAAAGATATCCCGGGTATAAATTCGTTTACTCCACCAAAATCTCCATTGTATTCGAACAACGAAGAGGTATTATGTGATAAAGAGGTGAAATATTTTAACCAACCATTTGGCATAGTTGTAGCTGAAACACGACATATAGCTGATAGAGCTGCAAAATTGGTTAAGGTCAAATACAGTAACGTAACAAAACCTGTAATCAATATCAGAGAAGCCAAAAATGACTCAAAAAGATTGCAACAGTATATGTCTAGCGACTCTACAGATAAAGGCAATGATGTAGTTAAAGTGATAAAAGGATATAATTATTTTCATGAACAATATCACATGTGTATGGAAACGTTAGTGTGCATAACTCGACCTACGGAAGAAGGTATAGAAGTACACGCATCTACGCAATGGTTAGACGGTGTACAATTGATGATTTCACGAGCATTGAATATGCAACAAAATAGGTACAATATTAGTATATATTAATAGTATATTAATAAAATGCTATAAGTAAATAAACAAGTTTATTTTCAGGATTGATGTATATGTTCGGCGACTTGGAGGAGCATATGGGATTAAGATATCGCGTATAACCCAATTAGCGATTGCTTGTAGTCTTGTAACTCAAAAACTTAATAGACCGTGCAGATTTATTCAGTCTTTGACTACTAACATGAGAGCGGTTGGAAAAAGATATAATTGTTACAGCGATTATGAAGTAGGTTTAATTATTTATTTATACTTTATTTTACACAAAAATTACAGTAGTATAAATTATTCTGATCAAAGTTGGATTCTCTTTCAACAAACCTTGGCTTACTAATAAAATCATTGTGGTGTTTTAGTAATGAAAGATAATAATATATATTATTATCATCTTATTATAGGCCGGAGTTAATGCTACAGGAATAATCCAATATTTGAATTACAATACATACGAAGGAAATGGATATACCATTAATGAAACTCTATCAATGCTTGGAGCTGGAGTTTTCAATAATTGTTATAATAAAACAAGATGGAATTTTAAAGGGTATGATGTTACGACTGATTTAGCAAAAAATACATTTTGTAGATCTCCAGGTATTTATATAAATATTAATTTGATATTTGGTACTAGAATTTTATAATTAAAATTATAGTAAAATGAAAAATATTTAATGTAACATTAATTTAAATATGTTTCATAGGTACATTCGAAGCTATTTCAATGATAGAATGTATTATGGAACACATTTCATACGAGCAATCTTTAAACCCTGTAGATGTACGATTAGCTAATTTAGATGAACAATATAACGATATTAAAGAAATGGTTGAAACGTTAAAGAAAAATTCAAATTACGATGAAAGGAGAACAGCAGTTATAAAATATAATAAAGGAAACAGATGGAAAAAACGTGGTTTGAGAACTTCCTTTTCAAGGTGGACACCAGGTGGAGGACAACAGTTAGATATAACACTGTCAGTATATCATGGCGATGGAACCGTTGCTATAACTCATGCTGGTGTGGAAATGGGTCAAGGAGTGAACACTAAAGCAGTCCAGATTTGTGCATATCTTCTAAATATACCTGTTACTAAAATTCAGATCAAAGGTAACAATACAATAATAGCACCAAATAGTTTTATATCTGGAGGCAGTTTAACTTCTACAAATGTTACTGTTGGTGTACAAAGATGCTGCGAGGAACTTTTAAAAAGACTGGATCCGATTAAAAAGGAAATGAATAATCCAACTTGGGAACAATTAATAAGCAAAGCTTTTGAATCAAATATTGATTTACAAACTCATGGATTTATAAATGCTCTTGATAGTGAAGAGTACAATATTTACGGTGTAGCATGTGCTGAAGTAGAAGTAGATATACTAACAGGAGAATTGGAGGTTATACGAGTAGATATAATACAAGACGTTGGACGAAGCGTAAATCCTGAGGTTGATATGGGACAAGTAAGTTTTATATTATTATGATATTAATACACAAATAAGGTTCTTTTTTATTCTGAATTACATAAAATACTTAATATATTTATTATTCAAACTGTTAGTTAAAAAACTTTGATAATTTAGGATGTAACAGTATATTTATTTAAATGAATTATTATGAATTCTATTTCTATTCTATTAATTTAAGATTATTTATGAAATATTACTCTAATAACTGGATACAAATTTATAGGTAGAAGGTGCATTTATAATGGGTTTAGGATATTGGACAAGCGAAAAACTAATATTTTCCAATACTGGGGAAGTACTTACGGATCGTACATGGAATTATTACGTGCCTCAAGCAAGAGATATACCCCAAGATTTTAGAGTGTATTTTAAAAAGAATTCAACAGGTCCCAATAAATTTTTTGGTGCTAAAGGTAATTAATTTATATGTATTTTGTAATTAATATTTGAAAATATAATAAAAAAGCCTAGAGATAATATGAAAAAATGTGTAATAAAATAAGAATTCGTAATTACATTTATGATTCTCTCATGTTACGATAAATCTATTAATATTCTTATGAATACATACGTAGAAATATCTACGTGACAAAATAACAGATTTTATATAGTTAGATAAAATATCAGTAAACTAATTTATTTATTTTTAGCAACTGGAGAACCTCCTATGTGCCTCTCAGTAGTAATACCCTTTGCCATTAGGGAAGCTATTGTTTCGGCAAGGTCAGATTGTGGTCTTCCCAGCACTGCTTGGTTTCCTGTAGGTAAGTAAAAGAGATACAAATTGATTGGTTATATTTATTCTAATGCTTATGGAGTTATATGAATATATAATTATTGCGTAATCTTTTTAAGAAATCATTTAGTCGTATAAAATTATTAATAATTAAATTTTTTACTATATATCTATTGGTAACAAAAAACGGTTTATCTTAGTAAAGTTCGTTTCTTACATTAGATCAATCGAGAATCGAACCTATGCTGTTACTGAAACTGATAAGTTTTGAGAACTACATATAATAAGCATTTTGCTTGTTACCTCACAAAAGAAAGAGTGTATGTTTGTGGTACTTACATAGTGGGATTAGGAACTTTGTAGACATCCAATATCCTAATATAATACCTAAATTGTATTACATAATGTGAGATTGTTTTTTTGTTTATCAAAATTTGCTTAATCACATATAAAACAAAGGAAGGAAGAAGAATTATTATTATTATCTTTCTTATCTATTTCTATTCTTATTCTATTTCTTATTCTATTTTTAGATGGACCATGTACCATAGAAAGTAACTGCTTGTTGGCTGCAACTCCTGTCGAACATTTTAAGTTCAACTGAATATGGTAATTGTTTAAATATTATGAGTGTATCCAATAACTATCTTATTTATTCCACATTGTATTATTCATAAAAATAGAACTTAATACTAATTTAAGTCACTGTATCCGTACAAATATAAAATTATATCAATAATATTATTGTATAAATAAATTGAAAAGTGTGACTGGTGAGTTTTTTGAGGTTTGTTCTCTGCAGATAACAAAATTTCGAAACTAATATTAGAATCATAAAAAAGTTATGATCTAAAAGAGCTTGCAAACAACTGTATATTTGAGTAAAAATGAATTTTATTCTTTTCTCTAATTATTAAATTAATGAAATGTTACCATTTTCGTCAATTAATTAATACGTAATGTTGGGGTCTGGCAAAATACCAACGCTACTGTAGTATGCATGTTATGCAACATTGCAATATTAAGCTGAATTAGACACCCATTCACTTGTAATAACTAATTTAAATTATTGTTATATATATATATATATATATATATATATATATATATATATATATATATATATATATATATATATATATATATATATATATATATAATGTTTTTGATAAATAAAAACAAACAAAATTAAAGACTAATTAGTAAAAATCAATAAAATTTAAACCCTGCCTGTCGATAAACAAGCATCTAAATTCGGTTATTAGTCGTAAAGATAACAAATAAATACTAGATAATGTTTTTTTATACTATATTAATAAAATTTTCAGATATGAAAATTATGGACCCAGTAGATAACGATAGAGTGCGGAACTACTTTATTCGCTATCTCATTTAAAATATTTTGACAGGTCTTTGGCCTGCGAAAAAAAATCATAATAAGTGACTACAATTAGAAACTCTGTTTAACCAAGTGTTAATTATTTTTTCTTGTATTATATAAAAAGTAAACAATAAAACTCGTGTAAATTGTTGATTTTCTTACTTTTCATTTTATAGCAACAAACACCTGTAATTGCATAGCTGTATTTGAATTTGAAAGCAATATCTCATGCCAGTTAATTTCCATCAGGTGGATGACTACCATACCGAATTAATGCATACTATTTGGCATGGATAAACAAGGATATGAGTGTGCCCACATGTATGGATTTCATTCTCTTTTATGGAAGCGGAATTGTGTAATCTTTTAGAGAATACATACTAATCTTATTAATTCGATAAAGTGAATAATTTGGCAATATGACCTATTAATTTACTAGCGTCATACTTGTATATACATATAGTTTCCAACGATGACCTTTGGAACCGAAACATGATCCTACACGGTTGGTCGTATGTAAAAGCTTCAAGTTGATCAGCGAGCTATGGAAAGGGCTATAGTTGGAGTTTCTTTGTACAATAGAATCCGAAATGAGATAAGCAAGCTGAAATGGTAATTGGCTAATAATATAGCTCGAAGAATCGACAACTGATGGATAACCATTAGGACAAAATCCCACTAGATAGAACAACGACCTCAATTGCATGGCATTCAGTGGATGCAGGTAGTTTGGGATTATTTCTTATGGCAGTAATGGATGTGAATAGTTAATGGCTGAAATGAATGTATGAAATACACATAAATTTGATAAATTAATCACCCTAAGGTTAACGATCAACTACAAACATCCTTTTTACAGAGAGTCTCTTCATATCTCCAAAATGACCAGCCAACCTCCACTATGCCTAGTTAATGTGTATATGGCGTAAGTAGATTAATAGATACATAATTTTGTCCGATGTGGGAGGCCTATATCCAATAGTAGAGGGATAATTGTTGAAATGACGACGATGATGATTGTCCGATTATATAATGAATATAAGCCACCCCTTTCTGTCCCAAAGGTGTCGTAAAAGGCGGCAAAGGAAACTTAATAGTCAAGGGATGGGCAGCAGCGTCCCTTTTAAAACATCACCAAACTTACCGAGGTCGCCAATCCGCCTGTCAAGCATGGCAACTATTGGTAACCTGGTAGCAGTGGACAGTTAACGGATGATATAATAAATAAATAATAATTGTCTAATTATTCACTTTATTGCATACGAACAGTAATAATCCTTTTTAAAATGTAATATTTAGTGATAGATTTAGATAGCAACAATTTTATGGTCACCGCAAACTGGCGGAATAAATTAGCTCAGTGGTATTAGCATGAGAATAAAGGTTATTTATTTTTATGGTATTGGCCTGCGGCATTCTGCGACAAGAAGCGAGATTTTGGCGCTGCAAAATTGTGACGGTATCAACACAGCTGGATTACACACCCTATGTTGTCACGTACGCATTTATGAAAATTTACGTAACTTTTAAATAACTGCATATCAAGTGCATAACTCTTTATTTACTCTTTATTGCACCACTTAAGTATATATATATATATACAATTACACTTATAATTACAATGAGTGATTTTATCGCTAAAGCAATCTCTTCTAGACAATCTTTGGATAGAGGAGAAACTGTATGTTTAACCAATTTTTGGAATATATTTTAATCTATTGGGTAATTATTACCGAGACATACTGAAAACTTGTACCTTCTAATCTAATAATGTCCTCTTTACATGTTCGCTGTAATGTAAAAATATCTTGGAAATAAGTTGCAATACAGGTGTTCAATACATGTTTAGATGATTTACTGCAACAGTGTTACTAAAATGTGTTAAGGTCGAAACAAAAGAAAGTCTAGATTAATAAAAAAAGGTGTCTAAAGTATAATAATCTAAATAATTGGAGCAATCGAATTACAAACAAACATTATTACGCTAATTATACAATATTTAATCACACAGACAGAGATGAATAAATACACACTGTTTAGAGAAATAGTGTTTTAAATATTTTGTTTTGAATATATGGTATTTTTTTGATTGTATTTATATTATATTGTATTTATATTATATTTTATTTAGTGTCATTCCAAAAATATCCATCTATCTTATATTACATATTAATAAATAAAAGAATCTTTTGGTGTACAAAATGTTGAGAATAGCAGGATGCAGTAATAAAACATATATGTATTTGTGATATAAATTAATAAATTTAGTCAAAAGATACAAGACACGATGTAAGAAAATCTGACATAAAACAAACTTAAGAATAATATATTGTTCTAAAAAACTGCAGTGTAGATAGCCAGTATTAAAACTCTAACCTAAAAAAATATGCTATTGATTAATTTAAGTATATTTATCGTCTAACCTCGTATAAAACGAAAACTGTGTAACTCAGTTTAATGGGCAGGTTATAATGTTAAGCACATTGAATTTTGTTGCTACGAGGGATTTCATTCTTTAGCTTCGTTTAGGTTCTATTTAGTAAAGCAGATATTTTCAGTGTATTTTAACAACTAAATAAACATTTCTGTCTCTTTTGTGCGGAGAATAAAATTCTATGTGTGTATTTTCGTTACTAACTGTAAATTACAATGTTGGTAGGTATAGTATTAGTTAACTTTAAACATTCGCGTTGTTTACACATATTTTATATATGTGTAATATATCTATCGGGACTTAATGCGATGAAAAACTCTTGCAGGTAAATAATACCTACATACCTGCTTCTTTATTGTCGACGTTTCGACGTGATTGTACGTCGTGGTCACGACTGGTAGCTCGCGAAATCTCTTCGGGTACCCAAACGTTGGCAATAAAGAAGCAGGTACTATTTAGCTGTAAGGGTTCCTTGATGGGTGAAAATGGTATGGTAACCCCGCCTGCGCTAACGGGATACGCTAGCGGAGCACCAGTGAAGGGTGATAGATGAGAATGAAAACAGGTTCAGTTAGCCCATCATGATGAATTCATCAGGAATTAACCATGATAGTTTCCAGAGAACCGCGAGGAGGTTTTTTTCGACCTGGTTAGGTATATTGCTAGCAATAGGATTCTCAGTCTCCATTACTAACAGTCCCTTTCCCCCAGCTGTAAGGGTTTGTCATTGCATTAAGTCCCGATATAGTATTCGAAATGGGTATAATATTATAATTCGAAAGTATCTGTATATTAATTATAAGGCAGATTGCTTTGTATTAAGTATGTTTATTTGTACGCTAAATTAATAAACTTGACAAATAACAATAGACTGAAGTTAAAAAAAACCGCACAATATACAATCCTAAATTCTAAATCTATTCTAAATGTATATATTTTATTTTCAATTTGTTTCTCATTTGTTAGTTGATTTTTTTTCGTCTAATTTCTTTGGAGTTACGGTAACTTGTTTACCATCAATGTTACTTCTTCAGATGCTATTTTTAATAATCTTTAATTAGTTGTTTTCAGTAAACTTCGTTGAAATCGTTTATCTTTATTATCAAAAGTTGTCATCGGTTCCTTGGTATTTCTTATATTTGTAAAAATGTTTCTTTTACAATTTGAACATTTACACTTTGGACTTGACTTTGTACCTTTTATGACTTTTTCTTGCTTTTTATTCTGATTGAATTGATTTTGCAAATCTTTTGAGGTCTTATTATGAACATTCAAAAAATTATCAATTGTTGCCAATTTACTAGATGTATCATACCTTTTATGATAAGTATTGTTAGTCATTATTCCTTTTTCTTCCTTTTTTCGATTATATTTTTTTGTATTATTACGAAAAAAAAACGGCCATCTCAAGTATTTATTTGAACTGTAAATTATTATATTATTATTCTATATATTAATCAAAGGTTTCATCTATTGATGCATTGATGAATGCAGTATAGGACGAGGGAGACTTTGTACAAAAGTCGTTTGTTTGGGTATTTATTTATTTATTTATTTAACTCTTTATTGCACCATAAATAAAAATATACAATGACAAGTGAATAATTCAAATGAAATACAGTAACATAACTACAGATTGAAATATACACATAAAGGTATTATACAAAAGGCGGTCTTATCGCTAGGGCAATCTCTTACAGACAACCTTTAGTTAAGGGAGAACAGATAGAAAAGGGCAGGTGGCGCAAGAGTGAATCAACAATTTTCGTGCACAAAATTCGTGTACCTCTGTCCCGTTCGTGTTTCACTCGTAAAGCAATTTTGTTTGCATGGTAGTGTTTCGGTTTAAAGGGTGGAGATAGAGCAGTGAATTTACGGGGTACAGAGAAATAACACCTTAGTCCTCAGGGATGGCAACGCATGGGGAGTGTCATGGGCGAAACAGTATACATTGTTATGTTCATGGTACTGCTCATGTCTAAGTTGCATATAAAAAAAAGACGACAGTCCACTAGATAATGTCCTCAAACACATTGCAGGAAGTTAGTACACGCAGGTGGCTATCTATTATGGAGGTCTATGTTTAGCAGTGGACGGATGATGATGATGATGATCTACTGACACACTCATATTAAATTTAATTTCTATCTGTTCAGTTATTTAAGCGTGCTTTAGAAACAAAACAACTTTACAAACATTTTCTAATATTAGTATAAGAAAATTCAGTGGGCTACTTACTATCTTTTTGTAGACTTATGTAGATTATCTCTATCCATAGGTATTTTGTTTCGATGATTTTTTTCAAACTGACTAGCTTCTGGTATATTTGCATGTTCTTTGTTATTGACCAATGGTTTATCGAAATAGTTTGCATTATTTATATTGGGGTTTGATAGATCGACCGATCTGTATTTCAGTTTCTTACTTTCATCTACATCTAAATAGTTTTGATCATTATTGTCGATTTGAAAATTTTTCTCGTTGTTTGTGTAAGTTATTAATAAATCATAATCATTATATAATTTTGTGGTCAGACTGAAATAGAAGAAAATATTATCTATGATTTTATATTTTACTAAAGTAACATTAGATGATTGAGGCAACAAAGTACAATACACCTAAGTACTGTTTCGCTAGAGTTGTAATAGTATGCTAATAATGAGATATTTGGAAGTTAATTCAGAAGAAATCGATTCTATTTTTACTTTTACATAATCATATAAAACTAAATATTAGAGAAATAATAAAGACTTTTTTCTCGGTTCAATCTATAGAGAGGACATGATTAATAGTAATAAGGATTAGTAGTATTGCTAGCAATACACCCATTCACGATGGATTAACGAACCTGCTTTTATACCTGTCATTCACACTCTCTCGTCAGCCTATTTTGATAGAGCTTATTTTCATCATTATCATATTAGCCGTTATCTGTCAGTGGACAATTTGGAAAAGTGTATGTTTAAACATAGGCTTTGCTCTACTCTGTGGTTAAACATAGGATTTACTCTATTGGGGGGGTTTTGTCAGTAGTTGATGTCAAGCATATGCTTGGCAAGAGGGTTGACAACCATATTCAGCCTTTGGTAAAGTTATTAGAGACGTTGCTGTCTATCCCTCGGACATTAAGTTTCCTTTGTCATTTCTTTCAATACTCACAGGAAAGGAAGGGGTGGCCCATTTTATACTAGGACCACATCGCAACCACTCGCGGCGTAACTATTCCGTTATTATCCATAACATAAATAAACTAAGCTTGAAGAAAAATATATTTCTACCAGAGGGAGACTTTGTACAAAAGTCGATTGCTTGGGTACCTCTGTCCCATTTGTGTTTCAACCGTGAAGCAGTTGTGTTTGCATGGCTGTGTTTCGGTTTAAAGGGTGCTATATGGCGTGAATTTACTGGGTACAGAGGCATAACACCTGAGTCCTTAGGAATGGCAACGCATGGATGAAACAGAACATGAACTCTGTTATGTCCATGGTACTGTTCATGTCTATAGGCGACGGTTATCACTTTCCATTAGGTGGACCGTCAGCTTGTTTGCCATTCTAAGTTGTATAAAAAAAAAATTGTTAAAAATACCTGTCTGTATTCTCAAGATTGTATTCAATTTTCTCATCGATTTCATAATAATCGGGTTTTTGTATAAAATTAGCCACATCAATTTGTGTCATTTGGTTATTACTGTCAGACATTCGTTTATATTGCCTTCCATTATTATTTACCACAGGTATCTGTTTGTTAATACGTTGACTTTTCGCAGAATAATTTTTGAGCTTATGATTTATATAATAATAAGAAAAATGACCGCTACAAAAACATTCTTTCATATAAATTAACAAACAATAATAAATGTAAAAATAACGTGACATTGTTCTTTGACATTCCTAGAAATGTCAGTATAATTATTTCTTCAAATTTAATGGCATTATATGGATTGTGTCGGAATAAGATATTCTTGTTATAATGAAATATTATTTTTATTTTTATCGTAAATTCAGAAAAATAAACACGTTTTTATGAAAATAATAAGGAATTAAAAAATAATAACAAATAATAATAAAACTTCTATGGGACTAATCTGTTACTGATGGAGATATAAGGTAATAAATATAAAAAATACATTCAAATTAAGAACTTCCTTCTTTTAGAAGTTGGTTTGAAAATAAGCTTTTATCAACGGTAATAAAAATCATAATCGGTACTCTGTAATTAAAAAAAATTTTGCCCAACTTTAGATAGTGCTTAACATTACATTATGTTAGTGTAACATATATAATGTAACACTGCCATCATCAGCACGATCACTATGATCTGTGCGGTTGATATTCTACAGTATTGTACATAAAAACAATTATAATTCATGTATATGATTGTATACATACGGTAAATTGTTTTTTTCTTCTTTTTGTACGTATTATATATACATATATATATATATTTGTTTTATTTATTTTTACCATAATAAAAACTTTAACAACAAACAAGCGTATCAAAAACTACAGAGGTTTGCCTTGAATACTATACATTCTGCTTACTATATATATTTTTTTCATATTTCTTTATTAACCAATGTAACAGTTTTCGTCACACAATGGCAAGTCAATATTTACATTCTAATTTAGAAATTAATAAAATAAATAATAACAACATAATAAAAATAACATTACAAATTAATGACTGTTAAAATTATAAATTAGTTAATACATGTCAATATAATGGATGAAGTCATCATTATTGTTATATAACCAATAATGATGACTTCAAGTTATAAAGTTGGAATTGTCACACTTACAGTTAAACATAAATAAATAATAATGTCAAAATTTAATATATTATAATTATACCTATCTATACAATACTAAATTAAGTGTTTATAACAGTTTTTTTAATACTTGAAAATAGAATGGTAGCCCGCGCTATCGGTATACAACGGTATACAAACTCTCTTTAGTTCGATTATAAAGGCTACTGCGCCATACATAGTATAACTATGGTCATGGGAAGAAAAATTTAAACTCGTCCGAAAAAGGTTTCGTTTATAAGCAGAGGGCTAATTTATAAAAAGCTCTTTAAACTATCACCTGAAAGGGTAAAACTATTTTTGGATGTGGCATCTTTATTCAAGCGTGTAGAAATAGGCTTTAGTTGAGTACCGCCCTAAGTCGCCCTAATTTATGTCAGCCGTTTGTCGAGTTTCTCCCAGATGTTCCATGAGAAGGGAAGGGTTGGCCGTACTTGCAAGGGTGGTTTAGATTCCGCAGATAGGCATGGTAAATAGCAGTAATAACCTAGTCGGGGCACGCACATGACATGAAAGTTTACTAGGAGGGATTTACGCCAACCAGGTGGCTACAGTACGCGTTATTACCAAACTACTATGCCTATTTAGACAATTTGAATATGTGATTTAAATTGTACATTATTGTTTGTATATAGGTATACGAGTAGAGATAATTGTATTTCGGCTTGAGATAAATCTTTACTTCACTCTGTGTTACAAATAAGTATTCGGTAATAGGTAATAGTTTGATTTCTGAGGTAAGTATAAAAAAACCTATGTTTCAGGAGTCAGTGACTAAGTTCTATATCGGTTTATAACTGACCGAGTTATTTTATTTTATTTATTTATTTATTTATTCCTTATTGCACAATAAAATTTTGTACAAGTGGCGAGCTTAATGCCATAAGGCATTCTCTACCAGCTAACTATTAGGTAAAAAACAGATAGTGTATGAAGGGCAGATGTGGTGAACAATTTGTGACACCTCATACCTTACCGTTACCTCATAACTATATATATGTATATATATAGTTATGAGGTAACAAACATAAAAAGTACAAACAAATTGAGAATCTTCTTTTTTTTGAAGTTGGTTGATAAAGGCATTGCTAATGTTGTGTGCAACAACTCTTAATACAGAGAAACAACATGTGCAATGTATGAAAATGATTAAGCAGAAAAAAGATATGACAGATAGCAGCAGAGATACGACATCGCTATATTATTTAACTCGTGACCACGGCCAGTCTAGAAATATTAGAAATTAGAATATTAGGAATATCAATATATATAAATATAATTCTAAAACGGCCTGGTTAATTTCTGTCTGTTATACACTAAAAATCAGAATTAGCTAAGTAATTGTGTACCATAGGCACAAACTATTACAGACAAATTTTTAGCGAATGCTTAAAAGGAAAAGCAGTACTGGCTATTTAGATAGGATATATAACCTAAAAAGCATATGGCACAAAATCTAAGGATTAGCGAATACAGAAAGATATACCCTGAGAAAAATACAACGGTCATTATCTAAAGACGTTCCCCTTGCTTGGATTATCATTAGGGATTTGGCCAAACCCTTGTTAATGCCTTCTTTCCGCAAAATAATTAGGCACCCCTGTTATTTTTGTTCATTATAGTTTCATAAACAATACGCTTATTTCTGAAACTGTAACCAGTAGCGGTTACTAATTGGTCGAGTATATTTTGTAATAATTTTATATCGTACGATTCACGTTATCATTTCAAAATAATATTATGTGGGAAATGAACAATGAAACTTTATTAACTGTATTGTAATCTATATAAACAAAAATCATTATCTAATTATTTCGTTGTATTTGTGTTAGTCAAGACAAGGTGTGTCAAGACAAGAAAATGTTTTAAAGATTCTACAGAATAGTAAAATAGTGTCCATAAAAAATGAGTGAATGAATGATGATGAATCATAAAGTAACATATAGTAGGAACTTATTTATCTTCGAAAATACTGACAGTATTGAAAGATTATCAAAGATATGTAATCGGTTTTTTTTTATTAGTGCCTATACTCGTGTGAAACCATAACCGGCAGTTTGTAAATAAAAGATTATTCTTTATTAGTTCTCATCAACCGACTTCAAAATAGAAGAGGTTATCAATCCGACTGTAGATATTTTTAATGGGTGATAATGGAATAGTAACCCCCCCCCCCCCCCCCCCCGTGCTATCGATATACACCGGCGGGGCACCAGTGAAGAATGATAGGTGAGGATGAAGCAGGTCAGTTAGCCCATCGTGACGAATTCAATAAGAATTGTTCACGATAGTTTCCAGCGACGGTAGATATTCTCGTGCATATGTTACGTAATATTTTCCAAATTCTAAACTGATTTTAGTGGAACCTTTGGATTCATTTGGATAATTGGATTGATAAATATCAAATTTGACTTAATGTTTTGTGGAAAAATATCAAATTATATCAACAACTGAGTGGCAAGTATGGATACCGTGGGCTTAAAACTTGACCAGTTTTACAGATTAAATTGGGCTGCGCTGCAAATTGACACGAATAGCACATACAAAACAGGCCGGTTTATAATCACGCGACCTAAATCTGTCAGCTTTCCAAAAGTTTGCTATAAGCTTTCTAAATGGAATATGATAATAGTCGCATATATAAATAAACATAACTATAAACATCACTATTTTAATCGTAATGTATTTATTAAAATTTTTATAATTAAATATAGTACGTAATTGATACTTTACATATTCTTAACAGCGACGTATAGGAGGAAGACGGATTGTTAGCAGTGGGGTCTAAAAGGAATCTAGTAATATAACTTATCAGGTCGACCTCTCTTTGGTTTTTCCTGGAAATTATTATTAGTTTCTAGGTGCAACCATATTCCCCCATGAGGAACAAGGGGAGGACCAGGAGTGATGGTTACAACAATGGACCAACTGACCTGCTTTTATCCTCACCTATCATCTCTCATTAGTGTTCTGTCAGTGTAAATCGATAGCGCAAGTAGGGTTACCATTCCATTTTTACCTATAAAACAATTACACTCTATAAGTACGTCTTTTGTAACGAGTACTGTGTGGTTAATAAATATTTACATAAATAATTATTTAATTAAATGTTATAATATATAATGAAGTATTTTTAAGAGGTGAAAATGGACTTATAAACAATATAAAATGTACAGATAATGTAGGGGACGCTATTTGTATATATAAGTGGTACCAGAGAACGATGATAAGTGACGATAAAGTCAAGTTAGTTGGACTATTGCAAGAGATCTATTAGGAATTAAACCCGATGATTTTCTAAGAAGATTGCTTGGAGACTAACTTAACAGATATTACTGACAGTCCCCCCGGGAAAAGGATTGTTAATAATGGAGATATAACAGCACCATTGTCAGCTATATCCCCTATCAGGTCGACCATCACGCGGTTCCCCCCTGGAAAATATCTTGGTTAATTCTTGTGGAATTTGTCACGATTTGTTAACTAACTTGCTTTTATCCTCATCTATTATCCTATATACGTTGGCGTCATTCCACGATGCATAAAAAAAGTTTTTTTTTAGACTTAATCGAATCGTAGTCGTATCGGGTTAGTAAAGAAATTTCTGGAACCATATTAATAGTCGTACAGAGAGTATGTTGCACCCACTGTTAGATCTTATTGGATATTACCGCTTAGTCCCTCTTTGTTTGAGCACGTATCTACTTACTGTTGAAATTGTCGTCTGTGTTTATATTGCTATTATATATATTGATAATTCTATATAAATATGTAATACAATTACAATTTACTAATCTAAAAATATATTAAATATAACTAGTTTAGAAGTAGTCATTTTAGTTATCTAAGGTACCTACAAGATATATATTTTATTTGACAAATCATATTTTAGACTTTAAATAGAAATAAATAACTTTTTCTTTTATTCTCGTAAATTAATAGCAGATATTTTTTTATTTTTTTTATCACAATATTAAAGGACACTAGATAAGAATACTTATTAATAAATGATAACGAAGTATATAAAAATATAAAAATATGAATATAAAAATGTTTGTATTAAGTGCGGACCT